AATAAAATAAAGAATGAAGTTTAAATCAGCTGCATAATTAATCACTATGTTATTTTTCTTGAATAACCATTAGTTTTACTTCTCATTTAAATGTGATTCCAGTACTGTCCTCAGTTTATTCTTGAAAATCTCTGCTACTGAAACTAGTCTTTTTTTGTGTACAAAAATCTGTGCGTAAGATTTCTGTGCGCACCATTGCTCGTGCGCATCGTTCCGGAACTCGTACAACGCCTCTTTTTCACCTTGTTGGCAAATGTAGAGCGAAAGACCTGTTAAGAGTTTTATCACAGAAACCTAAAATGATAACTTCGATTTTAATTTTTTTAATTATAACTTTTTCTTTTCAAATTATAATGTTTTCAATATCAAAAATCGAGATTTTACACAAGGTTTTCACCATTTTTTTATATCTCGAGTAGGAAAAATCAAAAATGAAAAAGGAAAATTTGCAGATATCGTGTCAGGTATGTGGTTAAATTTTGAGCGCCATTGGAGGAAGTTTTGATAGGATCGTTATGGACATGAATGAAAATCGAGGCTCTTCAGACAAACCATAGAAGAACATGTCAACGAATTCTAGGCAGAAATACATCGTTTTTCTTTTTTGATATTCTATCTCAGATATGAATTTGAACTCAATTGGATTTTCGCTCTACATTTACCAAAAAGGTGAAAAAAGGAGATAGATACTCTTAACTACTGGAAAAAATTTTGAGACAATGACATCGATTTGATATTACCATCTCGAAATAATGTTATTGCATTCAATATTTTCATACTATATTTACATGCACTTGCTCAATCAAATCAATGTTGTAGATAAGCATAGATGCGTTTTTTTGTGCAATATATTCGACTATCAAAAAACTTTCAGGTAAGGTCGATTAGGAAAAAACGAATCATTAACAAGATTGCAAAAAACCTTTCTTTTTTTCTAGCATGTTCGATTGCTACATTCTATTAGATCAGTTTTATTTAGTAGATCATCGACTACTGTGTTTACGGTTGGCACTTCTGCTTTGATTCTTTCTTCATTATTACGATGGACAAAATCGAAATCGTTGTTTCATCGATTATATGCAGCAGATAATAGGAGTATCAACGCAGTTATTCCAAAAGGTAAATTTTTTAACTGTAAACCGTATTTACTGCATTATTGATCATTTGACGAATAGTCATGAAATGTTTTAAATAATTTTAGATATTAAAACAATTGTTGATCAATTAGACAGTTTTGCCGATGCAGATGAATATGAAAAAGCGTATGATTTTATACAACAAATTCCAAAGAATGATGCCTTTGAAACTTTTCATCTTCTTTGGAGAATGGCCAGGTAAAAGTAACGACAGAAAATAATCACTCTTATCATCTACTCTTATTATTGAATATTTTGAAATATTTTTTCTTTATTATTTAGAGTAAATTATAAACTATCGCAAAGGACAACAGATAATAATTTTAAAAAAAAACTTATTGAACATGGATTTTCTCTTGCTGAGCAAGCTCTAAAATCGGGTAACGATAATTACGCCGTCCACAAAGTGAGTTAAATGTGATGCATCAACTTTATCATGTTTTATATTTCTTCTTTTTTTCTTATCTCTCTAGTGGTATGGCATATTATTGAATGAAAAAAGTCAATTTAATAGTAGTGAAGAGCAGATACGAAATGCATTTGAAGTTAAAAAACATTTTGAAGAAGCTATAAGATTAAATCCAACAGATGCTACATCCAAATATTTATTAGGTATCTGGTAAGTTTAGGTTTTTATTAAACGGTGAGATATACCGACTATTTTATTTATTTGTTAAGGCATTATGAAGTTGCACATTTATCAGCATGGAAACGACGTATTGCAAAACTTATTTATGGTAAAATTCCAGAATCAACAATAGATGAAGCCTTGAAATATTTTAAATTGGCAGAAGAAACTGATCCCGGTTTTTATAATAAAAATATGCTGATGTAAGTGAAACATGTTGCCATTTTCTAACACGATTTATAATAAACAGTTTACGATTTTTAGGCTTATTAAATGTTATTATGAACTTAGTACAAAACCAATGGCGATGGAATATGCTAAAATCTTATTAGAAAAAGACCGTAAAACAAGAGAAGATCAAGAAGTAGAGTGACAACGTTTAAGTTATTTTGTATGAAAAATGCATGTTTTCTTTTTTTTAAGGTTTACAGTGAAATTATTCAATTAATACCACGGATAGAAAAAATGAAAAACGTTTAAACGGCTTATGAGATAAGTAAAATAGATATTAACTAGAATCATTCCTACGAGGATTCGCTGTATTTTGGTTTGGTTTTACAATTATTTGTTTACTTTCATTCGCATACACATCATGTCCTAATTTTGTTTCTTGTACATTTGATTAGCATTCATCTTTGAAAAGTGTTGAATATCAATCAAGTTTGCCAGAATCCAAATTAGAATATGATGTGTGTATGGATGCGACTTATGGCATCTGTTTCTTATATATTTTTTATTAATAAATCGTTAATGGCGCGTACTGCGCTGATAATTCAAAGAATATTAAAAATAAACAATGACTTGTGAAAATGTTTTTTTTTAATCATAATCCTGTTTATTAAGAAAAGATACACCAAACTTGACTATAGACCAAGATCTATGATACAGAGTCAACTAAACACTAACAAAAAAACTTTCATAAATATATACATAGATTCTACGTGTTGAATATAATAACAAAAAGAAAGTACAGTAATAGACGAATGTCTTTAGATCTGTGATCATATCTGGAAAGATGGTATTAGTGAGAAGTAAAGGGGGAAGAATATGTTGTGCTCTAGACTGCAGCAGTAATCAATAAGAAAAAAAGAAATGTTATATCAGTCATTCACAGCAAAAACGATCTGACTGAATGATATAGTCGGTGACAGCTTTGATAATAATCTTGATTTCTTTAGGTGTTAGAGAAATTTCCAGAAATAAAGTTTTTAAATCAAAAGAAAGATGAGGTAAATCCGATTGAAATATAGAACGCAGAGCTAATCTTGCAGTATCAAACAAAGGACACTCCAAGAAACAGTGAGAAAAGCTCTCTTCCGTCACGTTGTCATACGAGCAGAAGGGATCAGAGATAAGATTACGAAGATACAAATCTTTCTGCTGCTGTGAAAAACCGACTCTGCATCTGTAAAAGCTAATATCTGCATCTCTGTTATAAACACAAGGTATTGTCGGTGATGGTAAATTGCGAATACGTTGATAGAAGATGCGTAAAAACGATATCGAGACGTTTTTGCTTTTAAAGACAAATAGATTGATTACTTTGACAATGCAGACGGGTAGAAAACGCAATAAGTACCTATTTCATTTCTTCAACGATGAGACGGAACTTCTTGTACTGCAAAGGAAGAGAGATGCACAGAATATGGTCATGTTTAAAACTCTAAACTTTCTCTGTGTTGTTATTATCATCTACAATGACTAAACTAAAACATTACGTGATGTTAAAAAAAGGAGGTAAAATCAATTGAAAATTTACCCAAAAATCTTTATATAGGACAAATGATTTAGAATGAAAAATGTTTAGATGAAGTAATATTTATTGGCTATCAAACTGAACCATATCGTTTAGATTAGCATCTATATTATTAGTAGGTCCTACTAACAGCTTCACAAAACAACACCTAATTCTGCTCTACCAGCAGCAACAATTATTATTATATAGTTTAGTGATAAAAGTTTTGTACAAAAACCCGTTGAAGTTCAATGAATTGATAAATAGAATAGGTAATGTTCTTCTTTGATGTTCCAAGAAGAATGTTGTGGAATCTAATCTAATAATAATATGAGATCGAGATGCTGATGTAAAGAAGAAACGAAAATAAGTAAGGTGCCGCTAAGGCAAAAACGGAGCAGATTCAAAAGTAGTCGAATCATACACCATTCGATAGCCCTGACAATTCTGACCTAGGGTCTTCATGATAAGATTTCAATTTGGATCAAATTTTCAGGTTGAAAACTTCAAAATACGAAAAGCCCCGAAAAAGTGTGTTTTTGCACATGTTGAGAAAAACGAGAATATGAAATCATCGTTTGTTAGAATTCAGTTTTAAATGTGATATTCGGATTGAGCAGCTCAATCCGTGAGGATTTCATATATGGACTTTTTGAAAATCGCCGAGCATTTTCTATAAATAATTCCCGACTTTACAGTGTATATAAAAGAAATAATGTCCATTAAATTCTTCATCATTTTCGGATTCAGCAGCTCAAGCTGCATCGATTCATGTGTGATTCAAGTTTCTTTACACACTCAGTGAAAATCAGGAAAATCCGAGATTTGCCTAACGAACTTTTAGCACCTCATCTTGTAACTGTATCTCCTCCTACAGCTTTTATCCTAGAACTTTCTTTCACATCTCATTCGAATCGCCTTTCAAAGCTCTACAAAGTTACGTGCACACATTTTTTTTAAAAGTTTTTGTCTGTCAGAAAAAAG